GCTCCTTGGAGTCAAGGATTCTGAAGCTTCATCTGACAATCTTTGGACATGTTGCAAGGGAGGACCAGTCCTTGGAGAGGGACATCATACTTGGGAGGGTGGAGGGACTGTGCAGAAGAGGAAGACCCTCTGAGATGAGATGGACTGATTCAGTGACTGGGTTAATGGGGGTGGATGTGTCAGAGACACTAAGATGGGCAAAGGATAGAGTAGGGTTTGAGGCTGTTTTACATAGTGTTGCTATGAGTCACAGGTGACTCGATGGCACACAACAACAACAACAACAACAACAACAACAACAACCACATGGGAGGGCATTGCCCACCTTCTTCCCATGGAGCTGGTGGGTTGGAGCTGCCAGAGAGATGCTGCATTTTGGGTTAGCAGTGCAATTCCCTAAAAGCTATGAGCTACTTTCAGCGCTATTCTTAAAGGAAAGCTGTAGAGATGCCTTTGAAAAGAATGTATTCAGCGAGATAGCTTAAAATAAAGAGACAGCTTTCATTTCTCTTATTTTGAAGCACATTTTTGGCTGGGTTTCCTTGGGTGGCATCCAAAACGATATAGGATCATTGCACTCATAGTGTTGATGCCCCTAGGATTGGTCCTCAGTGTGTGTTAAAGAGGACTTATTTTGAAGTATCCCTACACATCTAACCAAAGGTCACGGTGAATTATGCATGCCCTCTTACTAAAAAAGGTTATCTAGAGTAATGCTCTCTGAAGAGGAGCCTCAGTAGCGCCACTAACAAGCTGAATGGCCTCAGGTAACTCTTCTAAAAAAGACAGATTGAGTTGGTTTTGCGGGGTGTGGAGTAAGGCTCTCTTGTTTTACGGTCTTAATCTCTTTACTAGGAATACTCTCCAAGTCCCTATTTCCCCATCCTGGCTCCTCTCCACCATCTAATTATCTGCTAACTTGACTACCCATCTTGAACTATGGACATTTTGGTTCTTTTTCTCTGGCATATTGACCTTGTGTGAAACCTATATATAGATCATGAAGCTATTGTCTCAAAAGAACAAGGAACACTGCATTGTTTAAAATCAGGCAAAATATGCATAAGATTTGCATTCTTTCTCCATACCTATTCAATTTTGTGAATTCAAGTGTACGCTGAGCAAACCATTTAAGAAGCTGAACTCTATGAAGAAGAACGACATCAGGATTGTAGCAAGACTCCTGAACAACCTGCCCTATGCAGATGACACACAACAGTTGCTTACTCAAAGTGAAAAAAAGTTGAAACATTTGTTGCAGAAAATCAGACTACAGCCTTCAATATGAATCACATCTCAACATCAAGAAAACAAAAATCCTCACCACTGGAACAACAGGCAACATCATGATAGATGGAGAAAAGATAGAAGTTGTCAGCAATTTCATTTTACTTTGCTCCACAATCATTTCAACAGCAATCAAGAAATCAAAAGGTGTGTTGCATTTGGAAAATCTGTCAAGGATCTTTCAGTTGTGGTTTTGGAGAAGACTAATGTATTCTTATGGACTGCCAAACACGTCTGTCCTGGAGGTAGTGCCATCAGGGGGCTCCTTAGGGCCAGAATGGTGAGACTTGGTCTCACATATTTTGGGCGTGTTGTCAGAAGTGGCCAGTCCTTGGAAGAAGACATCCTGCTTGGAAAGGTGGAAGGTCAGACTAAGAGAGGAAGATCCCCAATAAGCTGGATTGACTCAATGACTGTAACAATGGGTCCAAGTATATCAGGGATCATGAAGCTGGTGCAGGATAGGGCAAGGTTCATAGGTTATTATGAGTCGTAGTCAACTTGATGGTACCTAACAGCAATAACAACACGAACATTTGTAATTACATAATTGTTTAATATCCATTTCCATCTTAGACTAATAGGTTTAAGAGGGGCAGTCAAAGATAGGCATAAACCCTGACAACTTGTGGAAGGGACAACAATGGATTGAGAAGACTTAGGAAAGGTTATGGAGTAAGTGTAGGCAAGTAAGTATAGGCTATTTGGGCCAAGATGGGTGGAGCAGAACTAGGGAGTGACAAAGAGAAGAAAGGCCAGTTTCTTTAGAAGTTGAAGAACAGGAAGAGGAATTTGGGTGGGACCCTCTCAGCCACCACTTATTGGGTGAACATTTACCTGTGCTAAGCACTAATAGATATGATTCATCTCATCCTCACAACCAGTCCATGAGGCAGGTACCATGATGCTTTAACCTCAGAGAAGAGACAGATTGCCTGGAGCTACTTAACCTGCCAATAGGACTCCAATTCAAGAGAATTTTACTGTTGATAATCTCTGATAATAAGGGGCATGCTTCACTGAGCCCCTCGGCTGGAGATATGAGTCCATCTATGATATGATAAGCTTTTGCATTTGGACTCATCTCAGGAGAAGAGAGTGTGTGTGTGTGTGTGTGTGTGTGTGTGTGTGTGTGTGTGTGTGTGCTTGCGCGCATGCATGCGCACGCATGTGCACGCAAGTATGCTAAAATCAAACAGCTATTAAGGAAGCATTCCAGCAGGACCCACATGCCCAACACTACCAAGAACATACACTGTGTGTCAGGTGCTGCTCTGAGCTCTTTACATGAATTACCCTCTACGTGTATTACCTCATTTAATCTCCACATTAGCTTCTTATGATGGATTAGAAAATTGTTGCATAGGTTTGTTAAGATAAAATTTAGTATGTGGTAAAGGTAAGATTTGAATCTTGGTTCTCTAACTGTGGACAAAGTGAGGCTGCAGGTACCAGTTTGAGGCCTGGACTCCATAAAAGATAGCAGAGACATCATGTAGACCTAAAGCCTGCTTTACCTGTGTACTTGGGTTCCACCTCCTTTCTGGCCTCGACTACAGCCTCTTTGGTCTCTACTCATCTTCCTACATTCCGTGCCCCTTAATCATCCTGTTAATACTTTAGTGAGGCCACAAAACTGACCAGTGGACAAACTGACCAAATGAGTGGAAGCTTGTTGTTGCAGTGAGGGTTAAACGAGTGCTTTTGAAAGCACTCAATATGCTACTTTGTTCATGAGAGGTATTTAATAAATCTGTCTTCAATTTGACTTTAAGTGGTTTCTCAGGTCTAAAGATTTCTGATGGCGGTTTTTCCACCCCTAGAAGGTAAGACATGACTATTGGTGCCATGAAGGAATTCCAGTGGTTTGTGGACATTACTTTGCATGACGCGATGAGAAATGTTTTCTAATTCCCTTCAAGCTCTCCGATCATGCTAAAGAGAAAGACACTTCGTCATGCTTTCCCCTAGACAGCTCCTTTGTCTTCGCTGATCTCTATTTTTGAATGAAATGTACCCAACTGCAGTCAGCTAAAAATGCTATTTATGAGGGTTGTAGAGTGGATTATATTTGGGGCTAGGGGGTGGG